GTTTGCGTATCATAAAGCAATTTACCTTCTGCTACTAATCCCTTTTCCTTGGACAATAAGTCTTTATTTTTAGTCAAATAATTCTCAATGAGCAAACTCTAATTTGAGGTTTTCCCTAGTGTCTCAGTCGAAATATTAGATATTAAGCGTGTTGCTAACCTCGATGGCAACTTCGAGCGATTGGTGTATACCGAATTTACTTTACCATTTTCTTATGTGGTTGAATGCTAGCAAGTGGGTTGTCCTAAGAATGTCTACAACTGTAGTGACCGTTACGTAGGCAATATCAGTAATTTCTGATTGATCTAAGCTATGTAAAACAATAGGCAAAGAACAATTAAAGTCATATTTTAGTGCTTCAAATAGGCTAATAGGACCGGAGTAAGAAGATGGTAACGCATAGTTGAATGGGTGATGTACTACATATATCCTACTATGGTCATATTTCATAGCCTGCTATAACGTTTCTACGTTATTGAAAAGTGTATGTACTATAAATTGCCTATGGCATTATAATCGACCACTACAAATGTTGCTTTCTCTTCTTGAAACATCATATTAGAGTTCTTTGATTACTAGCTTCTTCGGAACCAAAAACGTTTTTAATATTCTTGTGAGGTTTGTAGTGAGCCAATGATTTCTCTTTTCTACATATAGGGTTTTTGGAAAACATTTGATCTCAACAAGGATAACCAGATCACAGCGGAAGAGTTCAACTTTTACTTGGAGCGATTACCAGATGATAGTGTTAAGTGAGTAATTTTACGCCTTAATGCGACTAATTCTTTCATAATGTTCAGTTGAAATAAGGTTTACCGCAAACCTACAAGTTGCTGAAATAGTCATCAAGAATGACGCTAAGATAAACTAGACTATTAATTTTATATTGTGAGGAAGGCTTCACTTCAATATTATATTTTCTTGTATTTAATTGCTTTCTGTAAGGTTCCATTCAGACTGCAATGAGAGACAAGCCTACTGCTATCCGTAAAGTAATGGTTGCAATTTTCTAAATATTTTTATCGCCCAACTAGAAAAGTTTCTAAACGAACTACGCTTTTCCTTCATTTATTTTATAATATTTAGTGAGGACAAGTTAAAACAATCCTTCCGGCTATTTGATATGGATGATTCCGGCCGAATTGAGCTTGAGGAGCTCAAGGCTATATTTACTCAACTTGGAAGAGGCAAAGATGACGAGCTGATCAAATCAGTGTTAACATTGCATGGCATTTCGCCAGAAAAAGGAATCGAATTTGAGGATTTTTTGGCAATATTTTCCAACCCCTCTTACGTTTGAGCAGGGACCGATGCTGAAGCTATCCTTTTTCATTCCTCCGCACAACAAAATAATCCACCAAAACCAGATGCAAATTTGGCCATTTCGAAATTGCTTAAACTGGTGACTCCACTTCTCTTTGCCATACGAAAATAAGCCTTTACCTCACATTTGGAATCTTTAGATAAAATACCTTCATGCTCTAAATTAAACACATTTTCCAGAGAATAGAGGTAAATGTAGCCTCAGTAGTTGTTTTACTGTATTTTCGCAATGATCTAAAGGATCGTACCTTGTTCGGAGTCCATAGTATGTCTGATAATTTCCAGTTAGATCGTGGATTTGGTACGTTTACAGACGTTTCGCCAGCCCTATTAGTGAGCCTCGTAAGTA